GCCCTCTTTTCCTGCGTCCTTAGAGTCAGGGACCACTTTCCAGTTGGAGGGGTCCCACATCGAGATCCCCTCTCGCTTTAACTTGTATGATGACCCGGTTTAAGCACAGCTGGACCAAGAAACTCTCCAGTTCCCAAATAAGGCAGTGACAGTTACAGAACATGGCTCTTGATCCCGGTCATGGGAAGGCTGCTAAGAGACGGCACCGGTAGAGTCCGGACTCGGTTACTTCCTGACCTGACAGGTTTCGGCATGGGACGAGGGGCAGATTTGCGTTGGCGCGAATCCATGGTACGTGCCCCTAGCCAATTCACCACCACCACGTCGTGCCTTTGGGCACAGTTACATACTAGCTCGACCAACAACAAATGGACCTCGTCTTTTATCAACGACGATACCCTTGAGATCTGAGCACGATCATCTCCGTGCACGCAAGCGAGAACAGCCGATGCTTGCCGCCTTGACGCATCGCAGATTCTCAGGCCTCAGAGTGCGCCCCCTGCAGCTTGCCTCCACACACAACGCATGCTCGGGGCCCAGGTCCCCCTCTCTATAGACTTTCTTGAACTGCATCACCCCGTCAGGGATGCACCGACTGTAGTTTAGCAAGTCGTCATCTACTAGGCAGTCTTCTCGATCTTTCCCGGATGGCTGGCCCACCCCCTTCTGGGATCCCTGTCACCAAGCTCGATGGGATAGGGTTCGGATGCGAAATCAACATGGCATGTCTGTTTCTGATCAATCGAGAATGAGCCATGGCGAGAGGAATGGAATCAGGGGGATCTGAGCAGAGCATGCTAACCATGGTACAATGTCTTGCGTATGAGACGATACAACACCTCCTCCCCCCCTCCCCGCCCAAGCGCGACCATTGGCGGTACCGTCATGGTCCGGCCGTAGCTGAAGGGGTGTGTGGGAGGTTTTTCTGCTCAGCTGTAATCTGTGGCAGTCGTCTGCAGCGCCAAAGATCTATCCGGCTTGCCATCAGGCCCATTTTACCCTTCGACGAGTAGATACTTTGGGGCACAATCCAACGACAAGGCATTTCGAGGCATGTCAAACAGAAGCCATCGAAGCAGTTCCATATAGCGATCCGAGGAAGCGCCTTCGCCCATGGAGTTTCAGCCTCTGACCAAAGCCCAAATAAGAGAGACCACCCTTTCTTTTCCCTTGTCGTCCATGCCTCTCATTGCATAGTTACCGCAAAGTTCTTCAAGGTCCATTTTTATCTTGCTTCTTATTCCTGCCCCCCCTGTTAGCCACCCCCCTTCATCGGACAACTGGCTGTGCCAGCTCATAACCCTTCCACATGTCTTCCCCTCTGAGGATCCCTGAAGTATAGGACCGATCCCTTTGTGGAGGGGGCGGCTACTTTCCAACCTGGTTACCACGACCGGCACCATCCGTTGCAAGCTCTCCGACAACCTCGGAACCCTTGTTCCCTTGACGCTCACCAGTCTTCTTACGGCTCGACCGACTGAATTCCGGCGTGAGATATTCCGCTTCGCAGATACTCTCAAACTCTTGCTGGGATTCAAGCACGGTGCTCTCTTCTTGTCATACCAGGTTTGCCTCCACCACGGCCCCAGATTGCCTCAGAGCTAGTGCAGGATCCTGGCCCAGTACTCATACCTTGGAAAACGCACAAGGCCCTGCCCTTGAGAAGCCTACCACCGGCCGGACGACAGAGGCGACGTCGAAAGAGCCATTGTGACCAGCAGCTTCAAACCGTCGCATTAACGGGAGAGTGCTTAAGGCCAGTAAGACTTGGAGAGTCAATCAACCATCCGATCTGACGAGCGGTTCACGCTACGAAGCCCCGGCCGCCCGTGTGGGATAACCTGTTGTCATTTCGCCTGCCAACCTACCAGCAAAGCACCCAGCTGGACACTTCCTGGGTCAAAGCGTGACGCAACCGTGAGAAGGCCCTACGCCGACGCCGCCTCATCGCCAATCGCCCTCAGGATTGTCTTCCGCACCAGACCGAGGGATCCCGCTTCGGCTCAGTCAGTTCCAAGAAAGGGGCACAGTTCGAGCCTGGCGAAGCGACTTACCTTGTGCTGGGCACTGATGGAAGAAGACACTTACAGATTAGGTGTCCTTGGGTAAAGCTTCCTCTCCCAACCTTTTTTTGTCAAGGAAGTGAGAAACAAGGAGGATCGGCATTGCTATCAAAGATACAACCACGGCCATACCGCTTGTATATCTCGTTATTCCGGAACAAGGTACACTCGCGCGTTGCGTTCCGCATAGCGCACGAATCTACGGAACGAAGACAAATCTTAGGTCGCAACACAGCATATCAAAGCCTGAAGATAGAGCTATCATCGTCTGCCATTGTCTTCCAAAAGACATGCCAGTAACTGCAACGAGCCCTCGAAGTTATCAGACACCATAGGTAAGCCAACAAATGCTGCAGGGCCGAACACCATCGGCGGCTGGCTTCTGTACCTGCACATTGTGGCACGACTCTGCCTCGACCTCGACCTTGGTCGAGTAAACACGGGCCGTCAAGCGGCGATACCCCAGATCACCCCCAGATCACCCACCCATTGTTTTTATCTTGAGGGGAATTCCCACATCCTTCAGCGTTTATCTTCTACTTTTTACTAAACCTTGGTCCTCTTTCCCCGATGACTTCATTCCTTGACAGCCGCACGACAAGTCTCGGGCAGTATTTGACAGTAGAGTGCTGTTCTGGGGCCTCGAAGTAGCCAGAAGGAACAAGACTGATCGTAAGATAGAATACCAGCAAGCGTCGCAATCTCGCAAAATCCGTCTTCGCTCCCCGCTCAAACGAACAAACGAGCGATACCCATCATCAAACGCCATATAGTTGACCAGCAAGGACACGCTTAGTTGCTGCGTAAAGCCTTTAAGGCCATTGGGCCAGCAGGAACTTTCATTCTCTGCTTCTTCCTCCCGAGAGCCGAGCCAACCTCCCACCTCAGCACGCATAAAGGGCTACAAGCAAGGAAGAAGTGTCGAATCGACCAGGCGCAAATTGGCTCCAGACCCCCGCCACAGAAGACCTCCCAACTCTGGTACGCCTCTCATCCCAGGCGCTGCACCTGCAGAACTCCAGTGCTTTGGCTCATTTCGATTGGTCCATCCTTCTACTCGCGCCTTGCCCTCCTGGTAGCTCGTCCCGCCTTTGGGCATACAGACTGTCCCAAGCATCCGACTGCGCAAGACCATATCGTGTTCCTTTATCTTTCCATCGAGGACCCAGTCTCTACTCTGAGATAGTCCGTCCACCAGATTGCTCGGGGTATTCCTCTTGCCGCCGGTGGC